ATGTGGGTTAAGTTTGGTGTACAATTATTTTTAACCACAATGAATAACTTACACTAAAAAAAAAATCAAATTTCACACCAACTAAAATTCACACGTTGTAAAATTGATTTTGTTATATGTTCCAACTATAATCTATCTTACACCATAATTCCATCAACTATCTACCAATTATTATCATCAAATTAATGAATAACCAGACCAATATAGATGAAAAAATCATTAATGTTGATAAACATTTCATTGGTAAAAAAATTAAATTACAAAGTATTGTATTTATGGTGTTGTTTTACAAAGCAACACCAACATATAAAAAAATTATACCAAAAAACATACAAATTAAAAAACATATCAAACAAAAGTTTTAACAGTCATATCTGAAATAAATAGTTAAGCCTTTTTATATCACCAAAAGAAAACTCATATACAAAATAGTGCATATTATGATTAAACTATGATGTCAAGTTCAATATGATTAATAAAACGGTATCTTACATAAATCTCACTACTTTAGATCCCAATTACTAGGATTTCCGATAGTTTGTAATATTATTTTTTATACCATATTTTGGCCCCGAGATACATGTATCACTGATGGCGAGATACATGTATCCAACCGTTTTAAAAGCTGAGATACACAATTTATTAATTTAAATTAAAGGGGTTATAACTTATTTCCTTAATTAATGGATTAATTGCTGACTAATTAACAACTCAACAAATTTACAGGATCTTGAGTATCATCTCTAACAAATATTCCTAAAATAACGAAATCATAAACCTAATTAATTCTGTTATTGTACTCTTCATCTTCTTCATCGGCTTGAATCATTAATGGCGAGATACATGTATCCAACAATTTTTAAAGTTGAGATACACGATTTATTAATTTGAATTAACCTTTAACAAGAATCATCTGATTTTGTAAACAGTCAACCATTAAAATAGTTGAGAAACAACAAAAACAAATAATGTAAAAACCTGCACATGGCTTCATCGGCGTTCAACGACTCGTCGGAGTAAGGAGGAAGTATTTAATGTAAATTGAACTGAAACAAGTAATTGGAAGAATTGCAGAGAAGAAGAAATGCCTAAAAAGTAGAGAATAAAGAAGAAGTACAGAAAATTCTTGTTGAGAAGGTGGTTGCCTTTTTGCCTTCTAAAATGTTATACCAAAGATATAATCACACTCTAAGCAAAAAGATAGTGCACAACATTACATTCATAATGTGGTTATATGAAAACGCAAAGTTTTGTCATTT